AAGCCACCGAGAAACAAAAGCGAGGGAAGAAAACTCAGAGTTCGTAGAGCCTACGTTTCTCTTGTCGCCTCGTTCTGATTGGTCAACTTTGACCTGCTCCCATTTAAAAACTAAGAGCTTCCGGACAAAAAGAAGGTCATTTTCGTGATCAGTGAAGCCTCCCGAACACCGCCATACCCACCGGGTCAGGTAGTTTCGGAACACCCTGTATATATGTATGAATATATACATATATTGTATATATTAAGTTTTACAAAATAAAGCAAATTGAAAAATAATTCTAAAAAATTTCATGTTATGTGAAAATAATATTTTTATTCTAATCAAAATTTGTTACTTATAAAGAATTATTTCTATATTTTATTTGATTGTTATTAATGTTTCTGCAATCTTTACGTGCAAACAACTTAAATAAAATTATGCAGCAAACGATGATAAAATATTATTTAAAGATAACACCGTAATATTGCTAAAACATAACAACGTTAAGCTTGAAAGCAAATATGAAAATAGTTCCACAAGATTTTCAAAAATATCGCAGCCTGTTTGCATAAAATAAGTAAAATGTGGCGGATCTTACAGAGTTATATTTCTGCGATCCTTCTGTCATATTGCACGGGCTGACTGGAAGAAAAAGTTTAATATTTTTTTTAACGGCCAGCGAAAGATATTTACAATCGACAAATTTTCCTAATTTCAACTGAAACTACTAAAACTTTTATAGCATGTAATTTCTAGCGCAATATACTTTAAATCCATAAAGTTTCTGTGTACACGAGGTATGTAAAAGGTGTGTTTCTCTCTTTGCAAAGTCATGGGATTTAAATTAACTAGAGCCTAATGCTATGCGGTTACAGTTGGGACAGTAATAATGCGGACAGACCAGTGACAAACATGACAAACCATGACACCGTACGGTTTGTAACTTTGAAACTAATGGGGATATCAACATTCAGTTTATGACCATTTTTTTTTTCTTTTCATTTTTATTTTTTGTTGACAATTATTTTGACACAAAAGAATACTTCATACACCATGTAGGTAATAAATATTGTAAAAAATAAATAAAATTCTACAATGATTTGAAAAAATATTGTTTATTTATATACGTGAAGTATTATCAATCCTCAATTGAAATAATGCATTAAATTGATGCGCGCACATAAACTCTTTAAAGCGGCATACATCTGTCTGCGAATCTTTTGTATTGAAAACTAGAGCATGCATTTCTGCCAGCTTATAAATTTTATACTAGCAAAGCACAACGGCAGAAGAGTACATATCTCGAGACAATGCAAACAACACGAATTACTCTGTTCGTTTCTCATTACGGTTAAATCAAATCTCGTGCTAGTGTTAACGCGAAAAAATAGATTAAGAATAACGTCGAATCTTTCAACCCCAGCAACATTGATGGATTCCCAAAATATCCGAAACTGTATTCCAGGATTAAAAAAGAAAAGTGTCTGATAAAGAGAAAGAGGATGATTCGAGATCGCGTTTTGATCATTAAAACTTAAGTGACTCTAATCAAACTTAAACTAATCATCATTTTTTTTTCAATCATGAACGATGCGATAACGGGGAAAAATCACTATACTCTTTATCGGATCGATTTCTTAAAAAAGAAAGTTCAAGCATCCTCGTGTTTCAAGCTCGCATTCGCCATAACGAAACTTTACGACACAATGAGACTTTAACATCGTTTAGAATGCGACTGATGTGTCTATTGCAACTGCTTGTAGCCTATTTGCTACAGCATAAAATACCTGCTGTCTGTCGACATTTACAAAGAGACAATTGGTACAGTGTTGAAACGTTCGACGTGGTGTACTTTCCGTTCTCCTTTTTTCTATTGTCTATACGATTCCGTATCTCTCTAGGGTAAGTTTTTTGTGCAACTTTACATACGTATGAATAATACCAATTTCATATATGCGCGGGCGCACGCGCGCGTTGTTTGTGTGCGCGTATGCCATGAGAAATAGTCGCTAGAAAATTTCTACGCTCCAAAACCGGATCTCGTACTCTTTTCATTTCCGGTTAGTAATATTATAGTTGTGCAGTTGATAACGGCCATCTTGAAACCGCCTACGTGTACACAGTTAAAATTTCACTCAACACACTGAGAGAAAAGTATATAGTTGACTTAACGATTTTACATTATAAAAAAAGTATAGGAAAGGTTGTAATATTTTATGTTTGAAGCGATGATAATATAATTAAATACGCGATAATAGCAAAATTATTTAAAATAGAATTTTCAAATATACATATATTGTGCAAATAATTATAATAGTTATAATCATGAATATAATAGTTTTGTATATACTAGATAGTATACGTAAGTAGTATAGTAGTATAGTAAGTAAGTAGTAGTAGTATAGTATAGTACGTAGTATAGTATAATAGATTGTATATACTAGACATATACTAGATAGTATATACAAAATTATTATATTTATGATTATAACTATTATAATTATTTGCACAATATATGTATATTTGAAAATTCTATTTTAAATAATTTTGCTATTATCGCGTATTTAATTGTATTATCATCGCTTCAAACATAAAATATTATATATATACTATGTATATACTATTATGTATATACTAGATAGTATATACAAAATTACTATATTTATGATTATAACTACTATAACTATTTGCAATAGTTTCAATTTATCGTTTATGCAACAATTTTTTCATTTTTTGGAATAACCATAAAATATAGACGTAACCGCAGGGAATTATATTTTATAGTAAGATTATCGTCAGACTAACTATATTTTTCTTAGTACAACAATATTTTTCTCTCAGTACAGCACTGCTATAGTAGCAGTCGGTGTATTTGCATAGAATATTCAAAAGACGATACGAGAGTTTGTCGAGGAGATGAAAGTATTAGGAGACTTGTTTTGCTCATTAAACTCGTAAGGATATTTCTTTTGTCAATATTGTACAATATTTTTGTTCGTCTTGTATACCTTTCATTACGAGAATTCTACGTCCCTTTGTAGTACTTCATGCATTTATTATATGTCAATTGTATTATACAATTTATACGTTGCAAAGTGCATGTTTAATTTTTATAATGAGAAGATATACAAAATTACCTAGTGCCTTATACGCTTTTGATTTTTATAGCTAGTCTGTTTTATTATCTCTATTAAATCTTCGTGACAGGAAAAATCGCACGTGTCCTTATCTGATTTTCATCTGGCTAACATGTCTCGAACTTTATCCTATACGAAATGACGACTGACATCGTCCACCCTTGACTTTATTAAAAATAAAAGATCGTTTCTAACGGTCAATGGCGATCCATAAAAAGCACCTGTCAAATACTATTTTCGTGCGTCTCTATCCCCAAAGATTAATAAAGAGACGAAACAGGTCAGACAATGAAAAAAAACAGGACCTTGATAGTGATATCAGTAACGGTACCCACTTTATCATTTGACTAATCATCCGATAAACCTTTTTCGAAATCAGATATACCAATTTCTTTAAAATTGTATTATCTCGCATCCCTTAACGCAAGGAGTCAATTGATAAAACGTAAGAATTTTCGCGTGGCTATGACGGGCGTTTTAGCATCATGACATTGGCTTGTATCTCTAGCAATTTGCATAATTTGGTTCTGTTAATTCATTTGCTTATCTTGGAAAAGGGCCGTGAAATCAGTACCGTGCCTAGTCGCATCAGCACCCTAGCCCAAGAAACTATCTACTATGAGGTACGCCCGGGGTCTCACCCAACCTTCATAATTTATCGTTAAATCAAATTTCACAAGACTGGCCCAGCAATCTGATACAGCACGAACACTTGTCCCGTACGAAAACCCATCCTTTCTTGCTCCAGACGTTTTTTACCCGATTCATCTTTCACACTATTTCACACCCTTTTCCTTTAGTGATATCTCATATAAAATATCATGAATAAGAGATTGCAGCTTAGAGCGAAAGCGACGATAACATTAAGACAGAAAATTTTCGAGAAGCAATTATAACATTAATGAGAAATTTTAATGAACGTCAACAAAGCTGTACCGACAGTACAGAATTAACTGTATACTCGAAAAATAAAATGAAAATATTTACATTTTTTGGGTAACTCCATCATAACAAATTATAAATATTTTTTATTATTCCTGCTTTATATTAGATATATATGGGAATGCTGCTTGTTGTATGAGTGAAAAAAAAAGAATTGTTTTCGAATTAAAAAATAAGGTTTACCCCCTACTCTCATCCCCCCAGTAATAATTTTCGAAAGACAGTTTCTAGATAGTGACGAGTGTCCTAAGGGGTTCAAATGTATGGTACACGAGAAGAGGGTGCTCCCGGCATCGAGGGAGCTCAGGGATCCATAGACTTGCGCAGTATGGTAGTAATAGTTGTAAGAGGGGGCGCGTGCTGGTACCAGGGATGTTAGTCACGGCCCACCAGCCCACCGCTTAACACGTAAGTTCCCGTAAACTGCTACGGATTCCCATACTTTTTTCACGCATAAACAAACATTCCCTACGGACGAATAATCGTGAGATTGACTCGTTGGTGCCGGATACAATATAATCAAATAAACACGAGAGTATCGTCGAGGGTTACTTCCGGCGACTGTAAGATGTCTGTGAAAATTGTGATAATGGCGGGTGATACCTATTCCGGGCGAGATACGCCCTTCTGATTGTACGTATGAAGCAGCTTCATTCAGTTCTCAACATTATCGTAGGGGTTTATTAACGTGATAATTAATGATAGTACGTCACCCATGTATTTTATGTGTCTATGATACCATACTCATAAAAAGTTGACAGGTTCATGTGCGCAGCTAATTTAACTTTTTATCATAATCCTGTTCGGAGATCTTAACGAAATCATTGCTCCTTTGAATGCACTAATTTCACTGCACGTTCCTTGACTATTACGTACCGATGACAATGTACAAGCACAATATTAGACACACTGGTAGATTTACATGCAATAAGATTTTATTTAAAAATGATGGAAAAAACATCTGGCATACACTTATTTTGGAAATATTGTCACGACGCTGATAGGTGCTAACAGGACTTTTTTGGAAGTTTATAATAACGAAACGTACACGTACATTCGATCGACAAGTCTGAAACTTTTAATAGCTGTTCGAGATAACTGGAATTTTGAAAAAATATATATAAATTTGTATTTACGTGCGGAATTATTTGTATTATTGGATATATTGTATTTTTTTCGCAAGGTTTATGACACAATAAAAATCAAAATATTGTGAAATGGACATTCAAAGATAGTAAATGATTTGAGTGAAATTTTGATATTGGTTTTATTTCAAATAATTGATGATTTTAAATAATATGCCAGTCGATAAAATACCATAGAATGACTTTTAATATCCTTAATTATTCCGTATTCTAATGTATAAGCCGATGTGTCAAAACTGCATATAGTATTTTTATTGTGAAACCATCGCAATGTGAATCCTTCAGTGTTGACAATACGCTGTTGACGTTGTATTGGATTTATCAGCTCATATAAAGAAGCAGGCTATGTCGCTCATATGCACACTACATGAATCTCCACGATGCTCTAAATATCTACATTTACTGCAGGAAGAAGGCAAAATACAAATTTCTCCCTATGTTCTGTACGTTAACGCAGATAATGGAATATGGCATTATGTGTAAATCTTTAATGAGAATTAATTTTTGAAAAAATTCAGACGTTCTGCTAAGTATAAACAAAAATATGGTACGCAAATCCGGATATGTGAAGTAAAACAAAAATCAAAAAAAAATACGTGTATAGAATCTTTCATTTCCCTTTGTGAGAATATGCAGTGGGATATGACTTTTTTTTATAAAATGCACTATTCACATATGCGAAATACATGGAACCCACTTCATATACTTGGCACGCTATGATTCAACAATAGTAAAACGCACATACAGGCAGAAGCCTGTTCACAGGAATTTGCAAATTTCCCGCATAACTACACGTGTAGCTAAAATTGTAGTGATGTAGCATAACGTTTCAATACATGGAGATGAACATGAAACTAAATTTTAGTACGTGAGAGAATTCCATCAGAAAGAAAATGCTATTCCAACATTTAATCTAGTTCACCAGTGATCAAACATTGGACTTCTAATATTTTTGACGGAAGAACTGAACATTTCATGTCGTTCATTGGGAAAGCATCAAGTGTGACGTCACGCGACACGCTCACGTCCTATTCAATTTCGTGGATAAAACATGAATTCGGAAAGCATCCAATGGGCGACTGAAATCAGTGCAGCTGCAGGCAATAATGTTTCCACGTGTGACGATCAAATGGAATTCCCCCCCCCCCC